ATTGTAATTGTTGTTGTAATTATTTTGTATTTGTGTAATGAATTCGTATGCGTTCTTTATTCTTAATAATTTCGATAGTTTTTGTTGCTAGTGTTTTTGTTGTGGTATTCTTTGATATTCTCTAAACATAATTTCGTTATCGTTTTTGTTGTTGTTATGATTGTTGTTGTTGTTGTAGGAGGGTTAAATTTTTTTAGTATTATTTGGAAAGTAGGTATAAATATACATGTATATATATTTATATACATATACATATACATATGTATATAGGCATATTAGTTATCATCATATGGTTAGTTTTGCTGCTGGGTATTATTAGATGTATGTATGTATGTGTATGTGTGAATGCATGTATGTATGTATGTATGGTATGGTATGGTATGGTATGGTATGGTATGGTATGGTATGGCATGGTATGCATGTGTGCATTAGAAGTGATGTCGAGCGCCTACTAAATTTGTATTTGATGGTTCGAAACGGTTTAGTTTCTAGGCCTCTCGCAATCGCTAATAACCGTAACACTTGAAGGATGCTTAAACCTGTCTTATCATGTATACATATACATACATATATGCGTGTATGTAGATAATATATAAAGGGAGTTTTCGATTGTGCGTGTGGTAGACCAAGACCATTTTGTGAGCGTGTGTGCGAGCGAGTGTGTGTGTGTGTTTCTGTTGTTGTCTGCTCAACTATATACGAATTATTCACCAATTATACGTGTATGCGCTTCAGTGTATGTGTGTGTATGTTTGTATGTGAGTGTGTGTGTGTGTGTGTAGTTGCGTTTGCTACAGCATAGATCTCTTCACATACACACAAACATACATAGCTGCTGCCGAATACAAATACACACAGATATAAATCTATATATGTATATGTGTGTGTGTAGCAGTGCTAACAGCTACATATGTGTACCATATGTCGTACGATCTGAGCTGATCTGGTCGGAATGGCTATAGCCTACACATATGTATACAAATGCCAATTTTATTGTTGTTTCAGCTAAGGATTCGACTCTCCTCCCATTCCTGTTTCCTTGTTCAAGCTAAAACATTTGATTTGCCACAAATCTACAGATAACAATGCAACAATTCGATTAGCCAATTGAATTGCTCCTCTACGGCAAGGGGCGAGTAGGTGTGGGTGGGCGTGTATGAGCTTTAGTATTTGTGTATACGGCAATTGGAACATTCGACTTCATAAACGATTAGCCAATTGGGCTGCCTGCCACACAACAAATGCGAACATTCTGGCGTAGTCTGTGTGCGCTTCTGTATTTGTACTTAGCGAATTCTCAAGCTTTAAATTTTGGGTGAAGGCGGGTAAAGGGGGGTGGCGTGAGGGGAGATAGACCAAATATTGTTGTAATTACATGTATATAAGGCATACATACATATGTATGTATATAGGAGTTGTTGTGGGTATATGTGTGTGTCTGTGTCTGTGTGTGTGTGTGTACATACATATTTGTTATGCCAATGGACGAATGTCAAGGATGAATACATATATGTTCATAAAGGGGAGACAACACACACACACACACACACACATACACCCACACACAAACGTATATTATATATAAATACACTCTCGATCTGCATGTATGCATGAGTGTGTGTGTGTGCGTATGTATGTATTTGTTGTTTGTTTCGCTTTTCGCATCTCACTCATTCAGGGTGAAAATTTTGTTGTTCGACAATTTTGAAGCCATATTTGAAAACGAATCGAAACAAAAAATTTGAAATTATTGAAATAATTCAACGAAAGACACATTAAAAATAAAGTTGCAATTTATATATATGTATATAGATTTTTAATATAATTGTATTTTTGTTTTTGTTTTTTGTTTTTTTTTTTTTTCATTTTGGTTTATGATTTAAAAGGATTAGTTTTCAATGCAAATACATATAATTGAATTGAAGCTTTTCTTTTGCTTTTGCTGTTGTAAATATATACGGATCATATCTGTTAGGGGGGGAGTTACGGGGGAGGGGGCGCAGGAGGTTTGGCTTTGGAGAATTGTGGTATACTTAGTTTTAGACACAAGCACGACGACGTACAAAAGTAAATTTAAAAATTTCAATACATAATATATATAAGTATTTATGTATATATATATATTCGATCGATCTTATAATGCGGTTGCATTTTACAATAAAACATAACGGTAAAGAAAAAACTAAACACAAAAATGTGGGTGGACACCAAATCAAATGGATTGCAAAAATATGATGTTTAGTGTTGTTGTTGTTGTCGTGTGAATGAAACAGAAAAAAGGAAATCGAATTGCACTGAAATCAACAAAATCAATTGTACAACAACAATAGTAATGTAACGCTAAATAAATAACTCTACCGTCTATCCAATCTCGGTCCCTAACACTTCAGATCTTTTTCTCAATTTATCCCTATCTATTTATGTATCCCTACCCCTCTATCTCCTCATCTGTCTATCCTTGATTTCCTATAGATGCTGTAATCCACAACATTAACGAAGAAGCCTATTCAAATCTACTAAGTATATTGTCAAGTGGCTAACGGAAACAAAAATGCAAACCGAAACTAAAAGATCAAGTAAACAATAGAAATAAATCATTCTTTTCATTTCGCATTAAGTATACAACTAAATATGTATATATATGTATGTTTGTATGTATGTTGGCAAGTGTAGGTATATGTATCATTGAAGGTATGTGTGTATGTGTGTGTGTATGTATGTATGTGTAGTAGAGTATAGCTCTGTGATATGCAGTTGGTTTATTATTGCGTTTAAATACGAATACAAAATTAGCACACAAATAAACGATGGAAAAGGAACGTAAAACGTGAAACGTAAAACGTAAAACGTGAAACGTAAAACGTGAAACAAAGAAATAGACTCATTAAAAGTGAACAAAATGACAAATGCTGAGAAAACAAACATGTAAGGAACATACACTTATATTTCCTGCTTAACTTTTAGCCGATGCTTAGCTTAGCTGACTAGATCTAATTAGATATCCAATTGGAATTCACTGAAATTTCAATGTCGATATACGTTTGGCGAATTGTGTGATTGCAAGACAGAGAGAAAGAGTGAGAGGGAAATATAGAGTGTGTCTGTGTGTGCGAATGTGTGAGAGAGAGAATAGAGCGATGTTATTTGATGACATATATCGAGAATAGCGTATATCGTATATCGTATATCATATATCATATAAAATTTATCGTTTATCGCTGATACTGATACTGATTTGACATGTGTGGACATGAAGTAAGCCAAATGAACTAGAAATCTCGAAGACACAAAAAAAAACACACTTCTCTTCACAAAGGCAATAAAAGCAGCCCGAACACTGAACCAGGCCCCCAATCATCGCAATCCCAGACCTAATTAGCTAGTCGACACCTCCCAAATTTATCCTAGTTTTTCCCTAGTCCCTCATTCCCTTGCTCCTCCACAGTTTCATGAACTGTCTAGCATCACACTTAGCCGTATACAGTGTCTCTACAATGTATTCGCCAACCAGATATTAGAATATATCTATATTATATATACGGCATATAATGAGCTTCAACATTTCTAACTCTAACACCACGGTATGTGTACGCATGTTTGTTGTTGGCTCGTTCGTCAGTCGGCTCGTTGGTTGGAGTTGGAGTTGGTGTTTGTTGCTGTGTTTCTCCTGGGGGGGAGGGGGGAGGCGGCCGCAAAGCCGCAAAGCTTTTACGAACACATTTTACAGTTAGACGGCTGGAGGTGTTGCTGGGCATGGTGGCAGGGGGCGTGGCAAATTGTTGTGGCCTAACCTCAGGATAACAGAGGCAATTAAAATTTACCGCCACGCACTCACACACACACACACACTATTTTGCTAAACACTCTTGATGCTTCGGATGCTCATTCGTTCACTTAATTAGTTTAATGTATTCACACACACACACACACACACACACACACACACACACACATACACACACACATGTTATTAGCTAATTTCTTTAGGCATTTTTTGGGTCTGGCGCTTTTTACTGGGGGTTGAAGGTTCAGTGTTCTAAGCCGTTTTTAATGCGTAGACGAGTATTGGACTTGGATTTGCTCGGCACTATCTCAACTGAATGATCATTTGCATCGACCGTTAGCGATCATTATCGTCAACATAAGCATTGGCCATTTGTTATACATATGTTTGATAGACGCCTGACTGCCGTTTGTTCTTCTTCTTCATCTTCTTCTGCCTCATATGTATGTTTTCGCAGTTGCTCTACGTTAATGTTTTGCTTATTTATTTGTATTACGAAAATGAAAACATTTACCATCGAAACAATCAAATAAGAAACAAATTTGTACACTTTTTCGATTTGACTTGAAGATGCAAAGGAAAGAAAAAAAAACAAAACAAAAATGTAATTAAAAAAAATAAAAAAAAAAACTAGTTTTTACTTTTGTGTTGACTTTTACGTGTTTTTGCAATTCTAATAAAAAAAATATATAACTCAATTATGAAAAGTCCACGTGAAAAGCGGCCCAGCTGCAACAGCAACAGGCAGCTGTACTTCGTAATACCCTGGGCCGCCCTTGAGTGGGGACGTTTAGTGTGTTGGTTTACTTTGAAATCAAATCGAATGGAATGGATAAATATAATCAAATATATATATATTCGTGTTCGTGTGTTCTCGGTGTGTTTAAATAAATCAAAAGTTAAATCAAATTGTAGTTAACACACACATATATAGCCGATTTATATGCATGTACGGATGTAAGTATTTTTTTTTTTTTTTCAAGTAAAACAAATGATACAGACACATTTCTTCAACGTTAAAATATTCGGATTTCTATTAATTCCTTTTCGTAAAAAATATTGTTTTTCTTCTCTTTTTTTTTTTTTTTTTTTTGATTCTGGGTTTTTTTTTTTTATATTTTGGTATATTTGCATTTGATGTAAAAAATGTAATAATGAGCTTTTGAGCGCAAATAGAGCGAAACAATAGAGTAAATAGAGAAATGCTCGGACTCACCTTGTGGAGAGACAGCGAGTTCACCAGATTGTTGTAGCTGGGTATTGAGGCCTGATCGGTAGAGAAATGAAAAGAAGAAGAGGAGAAGATTAGTCAGACTGCAAAGAGAAACGCATCGATGTATTACGCACCAATCAAGGCTGAGGGATCGAGATTGCTAATCGGAAAATTGAATGGACCTGGAAACAATTTGCTCTCGGCCGGCGACATAATGTAGGGCTGTGCGGCATGATGGGTGGCTAGGTTGTCGTTGATCTCATCGTCATTGCCAGAGCTATCGATGGAAAGAGAGAAGAAACAAAGAACAAACAATTAGGCGTATGCTAAGCCACTTCTACATAGGACCGACTGGACTGGACTCAGCATTGCCCAGCCTGACTGGGGGCTAATATACATATATATGTATATAGGTACTCCATGGGTTCTACAGTTCTATATTTGCACATTTTGTTAGTAGTTACCTCAAGGAGCCTTTGCCGCCGTCGCCGCTGCTGGAGCGATTGGCGTCGTGCTCGCCTGTGGAGTCGTTGCTGTGCTCATCGTTGACGTTGGCGTTGGCATTGTTGTTGTTCGAGCAGACCAGCTCCATGGGCTCCGACTTGACATCCTCGACACCGCGTGCCAGCGGCGAGGGCGTCATACTGCCGAGCTTCTCGCTGATGGAGATGCCGTTGCCATTGCCGTTGCCGTTGCCATTGCCATTGCCGTTGTTGTTGTTGTTGCCGTTGTTGTTGTTGCCGTTGCCGTTGCCCGAGTTGCCATTGCCTGTGGAGCGATTGCCTATAGTGAGAGAGCGGGAAAGTTGGAAAGATGCGAAAGTGCGAGAGTACGAAAGTGAGAGAAGTGAGTCAGCCATCGCTGTCTCTCCCACTCTCTCTCTCTCTCTATCTCCCTCGCGCACTTTCTCTCTCTCTCTCTCTCTATCTAAGTGCTGTACTTACGCTTCTCCTCCTTGAGCGGCGGCGTGTTGTTGTTGTTGTGGTGCTTGATCGTGCTAAAGTCGGCCGGCGTCAGCTGGGGCGAGGCGCTGCGCGCATGCATCTGCAGATCGGGGCTGCCGTTGTTGTTGCTGCTGGCAGAGAGGCCGTTGTTGTTGTCGGCGCTGCGCAAGCGCTTGAGGGCGTGCGATGTGGTCTCGTCGACGACGCCGCCGCTGTGGTGCATCATGGCCATGCGCTTCAGCAGATTGTTGTTGATGTGCTGCGGCAGCTGCTGCGGCGGCGGAGGCGGCGGCGGCGAGCCGCCAACCTGGCGACTGCTAAACAGTGTGGCAGCCCCCTCATCGTGCAACGACGAGCCATGGTGTGGATGTGAGTTGAGCGGCGTGCGTATGCCCGCATTGGCCAGGTTCTGTATCTGTGCCAAGTGCTGCAGAGAGGGACAGAGAGAGTGAGCTGAGCCCATACGGGGGGCGGGCGCCACTGTACTTACGCTGTGCGTGTCCTCGGCCTGCTGCTGTGTTAGGCCCGAGACGCGCAGCACCTCGGCGGTCTTCAAGAACGACTGCAGCGACTTCTGGTGCACGTTCACCTCGCCGTGGTATATGAACTCCACCAGCGAGTGCAGATCCATGAAATTGACATCTTGCAGCAGGATGACCGGGTGTTTGCAGGGTGTGCTCTGTGGCGAAACAAAGCGGGAGTGCGCGTTTAGATCAAGTCAGTTGGCTGCGATGACCTTCGGCCATTGGCTCAATGTCGAACGAGCTGCAACCCGAGTGTGTGCTGGCTCTATCTCTATCTCTATCTCTGTCTCAGTCTCTGTCTCTATCTCTATCTCTATCTCTATCTCTGTCGCAGTCTCTGTCTCTATCTCTGTATCTGCCTTCTTCTTCTTCTACTTCTGCTTCTGCTTCTGCTTCTGCTCTGCCTATCTTTCTTCTTCCCTCTGGCACACACATGCATGCCAACTGCTTCAAGTTGGCCCCACTTTCCTCATACCTCATCCCTCAGCCTTCCCCCCTTACCTCATACGACGCCAATCTACAGCTGTGTGTAAATTTCACTTTATCATCCGAATGGCAAAAGCCAACAAAGGGCCCCAAAATTGGGTCAAGTTACGGCGTCGCTGTTATTATTTCGATTGCACGCATTGCGCGCCTCCAGTACCAGTTGCAGCTGCAGTTGCAATTCCAGTTGCAGTCCCTATGCCAGTCCCAGCCCCAGCCCCAACACCATCCCAGGCCCCAGCATCAGGCACGATCCTATATACCAGCGTCTGCCTTGACTTTACATGCTTTGTCTCTGCTTCCATCACTCTGTCTCCGTCTCGCTTCTTGCTGGCTTTATCTCCATTTTGCTCTCTCTTGTTTACTATATCGCAATTTATTTTCACATTCGCTATACATATGTATTCGTATACGTATATAGGTGCCTGTATGTAAGCAAGATACACAAACAGAGGCAGAGGCAGAGGCAGAGGCAAAGGCAACGGCAGAGGCAGAGGCAGAGGCAGAGACAGATTGTGAAATTGAGGTCAAGACGGCGGCGATCAAGTGATCGTCACATCCCAAACGAGCACCTACAACAAGTTTATGCCAAAGGGAGAAACCCAGAAACAACAGATAGAGAAAGAAAGAGGGAGCGAGATGGAGGTGGATGTAGAGATGGAGACAGACAAACAAAAGCTATTAGCAAATAGCAGGCGAGAGAGAGAACGAGATAAAGAGGGAGAGAGAGAGATAGAGTACTTTACTCTCGTGAAGGATCTGCGATCTAGAAAGGTTTGCCACAGAGAAAGCGGCAAAGGGAGCAATCTCGCTTAGAGAAACCTTTTTTGGAGACACGTGATATGCCATAGAGAAGAGAAACAGCTAAGGCCAATGGACGAGAGAGAAAGGAGGCGAACGAGTCGTCGTGTACCAAATGCAAATTGAGTGTCTTTGCTAAATGGGCGTGGCAGCAGACAGTTTTCAGTTAACTGTTTTGCAGTTAACAGTTCACAATTCACAGTTGAACAAAAGCCAAAATGCTTTTAGAAGCGCTTAACTCACGCCCCGTTTCGGACCCAACGCCCCTTCCCACTGAGAGTGCTTCATTGTGTGTTGTTGTTGTTTCTGCTCTTGTTGTTGTTGTTGTGTGTCTGCTTTGCAGTTTTACACCTAATTAAAATAATGCGCTGCAGTTAATTAAATATTTATGCATAGGCACAAGGCGACGCCAGCAAGAGATCAAGAGAGAGACAAAGACAGATGCAGGGAGAGAGAGAGACAGAAAGAGAGAGAGAGAGAGAGAAGCAGCAAGCAAGAGAGAGATAGACAGAGAGCAAAGTGGCAAAGTGTCGCCAAACCGGAGCCGGACTCAAGCAAAGGCTGGACTTTAGCTATAGCATGTCTGTTTGTGTCTTTGTTGCTGTTGTTTACGTTGTTGTTGTTGTATGTATTTCAAATTGAATTTACAAACTTCTGGCTGACTCGTATTGTTGCACTGCCAACAAAGTTTTTGTACTAATTTCTTGGTATATAATTATTTTAGCATTTTCTTCGTCTCCCCCTTCCTGCTGCTCCTCCCCCTCCAGCTCTTCTTCTGTCGCTTTTTTCTGTTCCCTCGTTCTTGGCATTGTTGCAGTTGCAGTTTGCTGCGAATTTAGTTGGCCTTTTTAACAAATTAAATGACGACTTTCAGTTGCCTGTCTGTCTGCCTGTCCGTCCGTCCGTTCGTCTGTCCGTCCGCCTGTTTGTCTATTTGTCTGTTCTTGTTGTTGTGCTTCATTATCATAGCCGTAGTTTCAGCATTTGGCTAAAAGTTTCGGCGGAATTTATTGGCCGGACAGCTTGTAAAGCTACAGCTCGGGGTACACCGTGTCGTATACACAATATGCCACGACACACACACATACATACATACATATATACGCGAAACGGTTGACGTATTGTCAGCTGTAAGGCAAAGCCGCCAACCATTAGCAAAGGCCGGTGCCTAAAAGCACCAAAAGAACCGAATCGCCCATTTCTCCCTTTCCCTCTCTCCTCTCTCTCTCTCTCTCTCTCTGTCTCGCTTTCAGTTTGTGTTGTTCATTTGTCTGGCTGCGTCTAAAAAAATGTACACAACTCAAAGTTTTCTATCATGTTAACAAATCACGTCGCAAGCGAATATTTACCAAGCCGAGCAGCAAAACTAAGAACTGAGAAGTTTGTAATTTATATAATTTCAGCTGCAATGCCAGAGCTGGAGCTGAAGGCAGAGGCAAAGGCAAGGCAAAGGCTTTTCCTCTAACCACAACCACTAATCAATCCACTAACCAATTCGCTAACCCAACAGTCCAAGCCCCAAGCCCCAAGCCCCCAGCTCCGACCCCAATGACAGCTCAAACAATGCAAATGGCAAAGTTTTTGGCTGGCAATTGCAAAGGAGAGAAGGGAAAGCGGGCTGGGGGCTCAAGGGGTAAGCAAGTCTCGAGGCCTGCTAAAAACCGCAATTGCGTGCAAATATTTTCAATGCAGTCGCAAATTTTTTTGTTTTGGCGGACAGGTAAACGAGGCAACGACTTCCATAATTTTAATGTCATAATAAAAACATGCACGACTGCTCCAGTTGGGCATGCACGACTAGCACATACCCAGCAGGACACAGCAGCACTCTACTACACTGCACTGATGCATGGCATCCCTCCAGGATGGAGAGTGCCCGGACTAGCATTCTCTCTCTCGATAGATCGAGCGAGATCTGAATGGATGGCGCCAGGGGGCGTGGCCAGTTTCGACTGCACTGTTGCCTCCGTTCTGTTCCCCAGTCTCAGGACTTCAGGATCTCGGGATCTCAGGATTTCAGGATCTCAGGATCTCGGGATCTCGTTAGACGAGCTCCGCTTGGGCAGTGCCTCGTGGTCCAGTCACATGTTACTCAAATAATGGCCCGCTTTAAGGCAGTTGCAGGCGGAACTTTTTGCGCTGGCCTCGACTGTACCTCATGGCCCATAATGTTGCAGGCAATTGCCGACATTTGGCGTGCTGTCGTCTCTTCCTCGTCTTCTTCTTCTAGTTGTTGCAATTGTTGCCTGTTATACTTATAGTTGTTATAGTTGTTGCGCAACTAAATAAATTAAAATCCAAACAGAAGACGGCAGCCCCCGAGCCACGCCCCCCGCTAACTAGCTGCCATCATATTTTTTAGCGAAATGCACAGCTAAGAACTTTTTCCCTAACTGTTTACACCACGCGCACGAAACGTTGCAAGCAAACAAAATGCTTGCAACATTTGCAGGCAGACAAAAGTCAACTGACTCTCCTCTCTCTCTCTGTCCCTCGCTCTCTCTCTCACACACACTCTTTGTGTGTGTGCATGTGTAGCCATCGTTTTATTAATTAGGCTGCCATTAAAACTGGGCCGCAGCAGCGACAGGCGCGAGCGCATGGATTCATTTGATCAACGCTGCGTATGAGTAATATATACATATATATGTATATGTACATATATGCACTGTAATAATATACATATATCTATATACTTATATGTGAATCAGGATGTATTCAACAGACAGCTGAGGCACATGTGCTCTCTCTCTCTCTATCTCTCTCGCCGCTCCTTATCTTGCTTCTTGTCTGAGCTAAGTAGGTCAGCAAAATGTATTTCGAGTTGCGAAATGCAATAAGCAAAAAAAGAAAGAAACTAAGACTTTGGTAGCAGATCCAAAAAGATCTCGCCCCACGACACCCCAAGCAACGATATGCTAAAGAAGGCTGTGCACGAATTGAAAAAGAAATGAAGATGGAGAAGAAACATAATCATAGCAAAGCCTGGGTATATATCTCTGCTACTGTATACGTATGTATGTGTGTATGTGTGCATACATGCATACATATGTATATACGCTTGCAGTGCTGACAGATCTCCAGCTAGCTGAACAGCTCTATGGTGGAGCCAAGGTAAGGTCAAAGGATCAACACATTCCCATAGAAGGACTAGAATGGAAAACTGTTCAACTTTCTTGGCCACAACTCCAACTGGAACTGAAATGCTCTCCTCATGGTATCACAATTCAATGATCTATTGCCATTCAATCTAGCTAAATATGTTACTCACATACATACATGCATATGTAGAGGGCCAAGTGCAATTCATCTCACAGTTACAATGGACTCGAATCAGTTAGATATATTTGCTTATCTTTATGTGGGATGTTCGAACCCGTTCAAAGTTGTGAAAAACTTTGTGGAAGTTTTAGTCTCCCATTTCGGGCCTATACAAATACGTATGTCTGTATGTATGTGCGTATGTGCGTATGTATAGTGGCTCGGATTCCCTCCCAAGAGTGATCTTCACTGCAAATATTATCGGACTATTCGAAATGGATGCCAACTCACCTTCAGCAGATCGCGGAAGTAGGGGCTGCATGCGGAGAGGACGACGCGATGGGCTTTTATGCTCCGTCCCTCGCAGGCGAGCGTCACGTCGACGAAGTCCTCGTCGTCGCGAAGATTCTCGAATGCCGATGTGATGCTGCTCTGATAGTTGTTCCATCGCAGACAGAAATGCTGTGTTTCGTCCATGTTGATTTGTTCGTCTTCTTCCTCTTCCTCTTCAATTGCTGCTGTGTAACGGTTATTCAGCTCGACTGTAGCCGTGGCTGTGCCTGTTGTTGCAATCGGAGTTGGGGTTCTAGTTGTTGTTATGGTTGTTGTTGTTGTTGCTGTTTTCAGCTGCCTAGCGTTGTTGTAGTTGTAGTTGTTGCTATTGTTATTGTTGTTGTTGGTGTTGTTGTTATCTTCGTCAACTGTGGAAACAACGCTGGCTTTCTTCGTGGTCACCTTTTTGCGTATTTTGGCGGCTTTTTATTGCACCGAGGGAAAAAAAGTTTTGTGCTCGCTGCTGCTGCTGCTGCTGCTGCGTTTGCTGCTCACATGCGCACACATACACGCACGCAGACACACGCACGCATGCACTGCTTAGCGGATTTGCAGTTGTTGTTGCTGTTGTTGTTGTTGTTGTTGTTCCCTTTGTCGAATCCAACGATGATAATGCTGATGCTAATGCTGATGCTAATGCTGTTGCTGATGATGATCACTTTGACTATTTCACTAATAATTAATTAACTGCAAATAGACAAAGACAGGGAGAGAGAGAGAAAGAGAGTTAAATTAGTAATTCACTTGGATTGCAAAAGTCATTAAGCTATAAATCTATATATGTATATGTATTTCATTTATTTATTGTTTTTTTTTTTTTTTTTTCTTTCTTTAAATAAACAGTTTTAATATTTATTTCTCTATTTGTGATATTTGTATTTAAATTTTGTGTTTGTTTATAGCATATATAGTTAAGTAAATTATAATCTACATTATCTTATACTACTAATTTGATATTGTATTATTAATATTTATCATCAGTATTTATAAATTTTAGCTTGAGCAAGCTTTAAAATTATTTATATCACTTTTCCCTACTTTTATCTGCACTTCTTATATTTATATATAATATATAATATACATATTAAGAGTTTAATTATTTTTTCGGATTTTTATGAATTTGTGTTTATTTTTCCTGAATTTGTTTTTCATTATTCGAATCGACAATTTATATTTACATTGTCTAAGCATTATAATTGTGATTAAATCGCATAAATTTTAGTGTCAAAAGTATAAGTTAATTATATTATTCTATATACAACTCGTTTGACTTGTTTTGATAGCCAAAACTGTATTTTTGCGCATTCGTTGATTTTGTCTTTCCCTCACACTCGCACACACATAGCGGCATTCTCATTTGCCGGCAATCGTGCGCGAGAGGGAGAGAGAGAGAGAGTGAGAGATGGGGTAAGCTTTTTTGCTGCTTGTTTAATATTTTACGCTGCGGCAAAGTGCAACAAATGCAACATTTTGCAAAAATGTTCGAAAATTGTTAACAAATGCACTTTAAAAATTTATCCAAACCACGGCGACAATTTGTGTGACATAGAAACAAAAATGAAGCAAAATAAAAAACCAAATCAAAGAACAATCCATAAAAAACTAACCAAGCAAATGAAGAAGACGCGACAGCAGCGAAAGAGACAAAATGCAATTAAAACGAGTACAATTTAATTTTGTATGTTTTCTTTTCACTCATAACGACTGCAAAAGAAACAACAACAATAACAATAATAACAGCAACGGCAACGGCAACGGCAGCAACAACAACGAAAAAGCACCCAAGCGGTAAAAATTTAGCAAACGCATCGCAAATAACTAAAACACTTGTAGTGCACAAATTTCGATGTGCTTTTCGCTTTTTGCTTTTCGCACTTCGCATTTCGCATTTCGTTTTTTCGGGCTTCTGCTGCTTGATCTGTTTCTTTTTCTCTTTGCGTTCGTCATTGTCTTTGTCTCAATTAGCAAAGGATAGTTATGCTTCTCCTTCTTGCTCGCTCGCCCGCTCACTCGCTCGATCTTTCTCTCGCTAGGCATGTGCACACATACATACACATACATATGCATACACATGTATGTGTATGTTCAGTGCGATAGAAGAGCAATGCAAAGCAAAGCGAGCACACAGACGCGCACAAAAGCTTGCCCATGCACACATACACATACACATGTGTGTGTGTGAGTGTGTGACATTGAAAGTGAAAACTATCAGATAATAAGTCAAGGCGTGCCTGCGAGTGTGTGCGCTGCACTTTTTAGCTATGCTAAAAATAGACCAAAGCAGCGACCCCAGCTACTGTGTGAGTGTATAGATGTGTGTAGATATCTGCGGTCGCGCTCTCCCCCTCCACTCTGTGCTATATGAAATGCAAAAGCTGCATCGTTTGGAGTACATACCTTCCGACTGGGTGCGCAGCCACTGGCATCCTACTAACAAGCTATGCACGAATGTGTGTACGTATGTATGCACGTATGTATGTCTCTAATAGTTCATTAGTGTTGCGAATGCCAACCGAAATAGATTATTATTATGTGTGCAATTTGTTGTAGGTGAATGTCGCATAGCAAACATTTTGTTGTTGTTTTTTGTTTTTGTATTGGTATTAGATTCTGTTTATTTTTTTTTTTTTCTTTCTTTCTTTTTATGTATTATTTATTTTATTTTTGTATTTGCTTTGGCTTGGTTTGAGTTGAGGTAGAAATTTGTTTGCGTATACGTAATATGGTAATTTAAGAAATGCTATTCGCTGCTGACTTGAGATCTTGGCTTATACGTTAAATGCAAATAACATTGGCACTGAACGAAACAATCAAGTAAAAATAAAATGTAAAAAAAAAGTAAAAAAAACACACACTTATTAATTACCGAACCGAACCGAACCGAACGACCGACCGAACACGCACTAAAAACTATTTAGCTACATATGTATGTAGATGTATGTGTGTGTGTATGTCTACACATATAAGCGGTTGCATGTATTGTATCTAGGCATATGTATGCATGTATTGGAGCCGAGGTAGAAGCTGAGCTGCATTGCGTTAGCGACGCTTGCAGGATCACTTGGAATTGTCTTGTGGTGCTGGAAGCTCACTTCCAGTGAACTGAAACGCTGAGAACGGGAACGCTGGGAAAGCAGCAGTCGGCGGCCAACCAGCGTGTTGGGCTTTTTGTTGCGTTTGATGATTGCAAGCGTAGAAACTCAACTGAATTCATGCTAAAGAAGAAGAGAGTGCTCGAGTGCCTCAGGCAGGCAGGCAGCGACGGCAGCGTCGACTGCGCGCAGCACCAGCAGCAGCAGCAACAGCAACAGCAACAGCAGCAGCAGCAACAGCGGCAGCGATAGCGCACAAAAAAGCGCATTGGGCAGGGATAGGGGCGACGGCAGTCGAAAGCACACACAAACAAACAAAAAGAATGAACAGAAAAAAAAAACACACTAAACTATTCACCGAAATTTTGGCAACAGCCGCAGCAGCAGCAGTAGCCGCGCCTGTGTGTGTGCGTGAGAGAGACAGAGAGCGGGACAACAACAAACGTGCGCACGCTCTGTTGCGTCGTTCGCTGTTCTGGCCAGTCCCAGTCCCCCGATCCCAGCCCCATCCCTATCCAGTCAAATGCTAGGATCGTCAGGTAGGCAGACAGGGACAGGAATGTCAATGTGTATGTATGCAAGTGTGTGTGTGTGTGTGTGTGTGTGTGTGTGTGTGTGTGTGTGTGCATATGCATGTGTGCTCAGTGATCTGTACATATGCATATATGTATGTGTTGGGGTAGGGGAAGCCGAGGGGGCTAGGAGCACACAGTGAATTGAACCTGAACTTGAGTATTAGAATGTGTGCGCTTGTGCTTTCGATTCCCACCACTACGAAACATGCTCAGCGACGGACCAGACTGAACGCAGACACATAAGCACGCTCACACACGCACACACTCACACACTGCTGCAGCAACGCGACGCACTCACTCTCGCACACACACACATATGTAGAAGCAGTGCCAAATAAAGTTTTTGGCACAGTCCAGTATTAAATTTTTGACTCTCGATCCCTCACCCTCTCTTTCTTAGGCGCGCTCTCTCTCTCTCTCTCTCTCTCTCTCTCACGCTCGCGCTTAGTTTATACTATGTATGTACATATATACATCTGTGTCCGGCAGTGTGTGTGACTATTGTGCATAGAACAAAACTCCGTTGCGGTCGACGACGCAGCCACTGCGCTAACGCTGACGCTGACGCTGAGGCTGAGGCTGACGCCAACGCTAACGCTGACTAATATCAACAAAATGAATAAACAGACACACATGCATATGCGTGTGTGCGTGTGTGTATCTGCCTATTCATTTTGTTGCATACATGCACAGAAGAGACAAACAAATATAAACTAACAGGCTGCGCGATTAACAGTTTCGCCTTCCCACTGAGCAACTTTTGACACTTTCAACTTGCACTCGGGCACATGCATGTGATGTGTTTTGTGTGTGTGTGTGTGTGTGTGTGTGTGTGTGTGTGTGTTTCGCGTCTAATTACCATTACGAGCAACAAATTCGTAATTAGCGCCCTTGCCTCTCTCGCCCCATCTCCCTCGCTCTTCCTGAACTATCGCATTACAATTGCAATTGCATTTCATTCGAAGTGGAGCCCGCCGGTGGGCCAAACGGTGGGAAAGACTCAAGTTTCTAATGCAAACCAAAACATTTCATGTAAAAAAGAAAGAAAAAAAAACACATACACAGCGCCACTCTCATCGGCAGGTACGGCCAGGGGGGGCAGGAGAGCGGCAGGAGAGCGTGCGACCGTGACCATGGCCCAGCAGCTGCTCAGCTATGAAATATTGGAATATGGAACATCGAATTAAATATATCCATTTGCTGTATCTTATATTTCGACTCATATTCGTCTGTGTGTGATTCGAACTCGAAGCATTCGACTCCCGTAGCCAACTAACACTGTGCAGAGTCCACAGGCTTTCGTCAGCTTCGTCAAGTTCGCTAAACTAGCATTCTGCATGCAGAGTCCACAGGCTTTCGTCAGCTTCGTCAAGTTTGCTTTGAATCGATTCTTCGATCTGCTGTTTTGTTGTTGTTTTCGATCCATTTCGAATTGTATTTAATGTGACTTTTTGTACGAAAAACAACAACAGCAAAAATCAAATAAAATAAAAGATCTTCGCTCGTAGTGCTTACGAACTTTCAAGGCTAAATACTACATTTGTTGTTGTTGCTGTATTATTATTAAATTTTGTTTGGCGCATTTCTCTACGCCAGCCAGAGCAAGCGTGAGTGGGAGCGGGACAGTGGCCGAGCGGGTGTGAGAGCGCGAGCCGGCGACGCCGCCGTCACAGACACAGTCGCCGTCGCAGTCGCCGTCGCAGTCGCTGCCGAGCAGCTTTTAAAATAGTTCTAGAAAAAAGTGCTTTTTTTTTTTTTACTTTTTCTGCTTGTTTTTTGGCACTGCAGTTTTTTTTCCCCATTTTTTCATTTTTGCAATTTCGTCCGTGTGTGTGGGTGTGAATGTGTGCGTATAAAGCAATTATTTGGTTGAATGCGCGAAAAAAAGCAACGCCAAACAAATGAGATTAGATAGACAAGTAGTTTGTTCGGTTGGAAACTAAACTAAATTTAATTATGTCATTCACAATGGATCCAAGCACACTCTTCGTTGTGTGTATGTGTGTGTGAGGACGAGCAT